ATATTTGCAATCTAAATATAGAAAACACTGACTCTTGTCAATTAACAAGGCGTAGCGCTGTACAATGCTCACCTGGGACAAACTAATAAATGTCGATGGGGAAATCTCGTCATCACCGTGTTCTTTCGCTTATTGTTTATTCGATGACCTAGGTTCGAGTTCCCACATAGGTACAAAGCGCGATTCTATGGTGTATTCCAAAAGTGAGTCTTTCTACAGGCGTAAAAATGTCATATTATTGTTATATATTCTTCTTTTCCACTTATTTTTATATTTTTTCTTACTTCGATGCTTCGACCATTCAATACCTGTGGGGTTTTGTTAATAGAACGCATTGCATCCAAACGAGTACCGTCTCATCAGACTGAGACAGCCAGGATTAGATAAATTAGGCAGATTACGTTATCGTGCCTTCATGTATGATGTAACAGGCAGAACAGAACGTATCTGCGTTCCAGGCCGCGTATAACAGAATTTATTTGTACAGCTTGATTGGATAAGTTGCTTAAACTTGACGGAGAGTGCATACATAGGTAGGTTTATAAATAGTTTTAGAAAGTTAAGACCATAACAATAGACTTAAATGTTTTCATTATAATTGAACGGAAAACAAAATGGTTAATTAAAATGCTGCCTTTTCTTCTAAAAAATGGTCTCTAATTTATAAATGTTTTGCTTGTTTTATCAGCTTGAAGTTTGAAATACATCTTCTTTGATTCCAGTAAAAACAATACTCTTTGGTAGGTCGGGATGGCGTTGGGAACACAAAGAACGCTGGAACATTGAACTTGAGTAACCGCATTGATATTTATTGGAAATGAAACTTCAAAGGTTAACCTTAAAAGATTCGACATACCAATGGTGTATTCACACGCTAATCTCTAATATGTCTCGGGATGGAGAACATTATAAAGCTTCTTTTGTTTGATGTAGTTTCGATATAATCTTGCTTCATTGTAATGTTAAACACATAAATATAATTTACAATGATAATTGTAGTTTAATGTAATGTAAAAATACTTTCGTCACTCAAGACTCCTTAGCTTTTAAAACATACATTGAGGATTTATTTTCTTATGCGATATAGCTTGTGTTTTTATCAACATTACTAAGAGATTGAGATCACATACTTCGAACAAAATGCAATGAGAACACATGAAATATCAGTTTATTTATTGTGTCGTCATAATGATAAGAACTGATTTTCAGTTGCGTGTTCTGTGACATGCAATTTCAAGCAATTTCGCAAGTTCGAAATCATTCTGTGGATGTTCCCTTTGTGATGAACCCGTGATGATCCGGGTTAGAATTGGTCTTCAGTAACCCATGCTTGTCGTAAAAGGCGACTAACGGGATCGGGTGGTCAGGTTCGCTTACTTGACACAATTCATCGTATGCCAATTCTGTAGATCGATGCTCATGCTTGTGATCACTGGATTATCTGGTCCAGACCTCGTTATCTGAAAACCGCCGCCATCTTGCGGTAATATTGCTGAGTGCGCGGCGTTAAACAGCAAACCAACCAACCCTTCCTAATATACTTCTACCAAGCCTGGGACTTAATTACATGAACTCTTGTTGTCTGACTTCAGTCCTTGTAACAACAAAAGTCTATACTCTTAAAGTTTAGATTTACACCAAAGTGTGTATCACATATAGAATCTGCATGTTGATCAATTTGACTCAATGGCAAAAAAACCCCAATGCGAATAGTACTGGAAATAATAGCCTCACCGTTTCAAGTCCTAACGTACGTTTTGATCTCATTTAATTCATGTAAATCTTTATTTAGGATTTCCATATATACTTGGTTGTTGATGACACTGCTGAAGAGCCAAAAGGAGAGACAAATGCTTAGCATCATATTGACAAATTCTAACGACATATCGACCGCCTCCGTGGTGTAGTGGTTAGAGCGTCCGCCCGGAGAGCGGAAGGTCGCGGGTTCGATCCCCGACCGCGTCATACCAAAAGACGTTAAAATATGGTACTTGTTGGTCCCTGCCTGGCGCTCGGCATTAATGGGTACAACAAGGACTGGTCGGCACGGAGTCAGTATAATGTGTCTGAGTGGGGTATTCATGCTTCACTGCGGCATGGTATCTCAGTGAGCTAGCACTATAAAACCAGCTTAAGTCTGGGCTAGTACAAGCAGCCGCACATACACATACACACGCATGCACGTCGTCATATGAGCGAAATATTCTCAAGCACGACGTTAAACCCAATTTCACCTCACCTCACCTCATGTAAATCTTTATTTAGGATTTCCATATGTACTTGGTTGTTGATGACACTGCTGAAGAGCCAAAAGGAGAGACAAATGCTTAGCATCATATTGACAAATTCTAACGACATATCACAATGTGCTAAGAAATACCAATGAGGGGTACTGTATAGGGCACCTGTTGGAAAATGTTATATAGCATTCCATGATATAGTTGATACAATAAGAAACGTCCTTTTGTAATCGTATATACATAGAATTATTATGTACATATCATTACGAACGTCAATGATCACAGGCAATGATGGCATACCATCTTGCACAACACGGTATGTTTGTCCCCCAAGAGAATGATTCGACATGACTATATCCAAATGAAGGCTGGTGTATGGGAAACCGATGTATTCTACCCATCACAAGTTTAGACTCACTAGTGTAAAAGTAGCCACTTACTTCAGTCAACTGTTCTTAACTAGATTTTGCAAAAATTCCATATTGTTTAAAGGTACTGTTTACACATGAACTGATATATTGTAAAACATATTCTTAAAGTTGAAAAGATTATTGTCATGAGTTCAATAAATGATGTAACGTGGCGAATTCTTAACACAATTTTACACCAAAACGCAGCTGTTCACATGCAGGATATTTGCTCATGCTTTTCACCAGTTTGATGCATGATCCTTGTGCAATTCATCTGCATACGGTTTGCAGTTGGTTCCCCCAAGTGAGTGGAAAAATTCATCTTCCATATATATGCATAACATAAAGTGAATGCTATAAGTGAGTCTAAACTATGTTTGGAGTAATGTAATATGTATTTCATCATCATGGCCTTGCTTCGCGAACGAAGATCTGTGAAGGGGGTGATCGACTTCAGGCACGCTGACAAGGCCAATGTGGGACAGGCAGGTTCGGCCGGAGCGGTTGCAGGTGAAGATCTGGTCTGGGTTTGGTGCTGAGGTTTCGCGGTTCTTCCTCCTCTGCCTCGTGTTTTTTTTTGCCCTGCGAGAGTCTTCAAAGGAGGAGACAGCCTGGTGGTAGGTGTGACTCCAGCCCTCGCGGTTTGCTGCACTGACGGTGGCCCATGTGACAGGCACCAAGGGAATATTTATGTATGTTATATTATATAACTTTTACACGTATATACCAGACATTGTTAAATAATTTCTAACTCCCACTTATAGTACTGAACATAATGTTACGGCATCTAATATGTCTGTTACATTTGTTAAAACTAATATCAACGCCCCAGATAAACCCCTCCTTAGAGGGCACGTAAGTCCCAAAACATTCAAAGTAAATTGAAACTCTCCACATTTTTAATCGTAGAATATGTTTATTTTTAATGTATGGCTAGATTTATCTAAATTGCTACCAGCTGAAGGGATGATGTAAATCCAACTGGGGCCCATCAGGAAGCAAATGTACTGTAAGTCCTCATGGTCCCTAGTATGGTGATCTACCTTCAGTTGTTTGCAATCTATAGCCTGTTTTTTTATATTGTATTGTCATGTATAGCTAAAATGTTTTAGATTTAATTACTAGTTTTAAATTTCCATCTGTGATAATCTAGTTGTTTTACTGTCCTTCGTTGACAGGTTTTTATAATTTTCCTTTAATTTTTATTAATCTATAACTTGATTTAGTCACAATATGGCTGAAATATTGCCAAAGTGACTTTAAATTTTAACTCGCTCACTCACTCCAGAAAAACCCGGCAGTACGTCCTCCATATCTATGTGCATGCTGATATTTATCACAGTTTGAAAAGATGAAATGTGTTCTTCCTTGTGTTGAAGTCTGCTTGGCTTGAACTACAAAATGCATTCGTCGACACTTCCTGTTGTGGTCTAAAGAAATACATACTCTTTTTTTCACGAACCTTTTAACTATACGTGTACACAAGGAAACTAATGCCAATTAATTGAGAGTTGTCGATTGAAGGGCGACAGCTGTTACTCCAATGTTGCAGAAACACTTCGCTAATAGCCTTGCACAGGTGGCCTTCCTCCGACAAGGGCCCATCGATCATCCGATGTGTTATACATGCCTCTGTATTGATTATCTTAGCCAATTGATCATCTTACATATACACTATTAACCGGCTTTGAGAAGTTATATTTTGTTAGGTTTCAGGATGTCTTTGAAGTTACAGAATTAGTTTTTGGGTGTTAATTATACAAAAACATGCCCCCTGTAGTATTGATTGACCAGATCACAGACTACAGGGACTGGAGGCGTTGATTGATATATATATATGACAATGCTTATAGGAATAATCATATGACCACGGGGATATATGAATGAAATTTTATGATTATGATTACGATTCTGCATGTTATTGACTATACAGTCAATGACAGTGATGGCACAAAACATATTGCGACGTAAACGTACCAATAAATCATTTTCGATATTCATTATTTAGGAAACCGTTTTCCCTTTTTATTATTGTGTAGTTATTTCTTGGATGTACTGAAACCTGATTGTACAACGTTTGCTTGTGCATAAATTTCGACAAAGTAATGCCAAATATCAGCGTAGCATATGTTTGGCGATCCCCTGGGTTCCATTTGTGCGGAAGCTGTCCCTCGTGTCCGGCAGTCCTCTTTCATTCCTGTTTCCACTCCTCCTGGAAAACCCACGCAGCGAGGCCGATTCCTGATAGGTGTCGTAAGTAGATCAATGAACCCGCTGGGTTTGGCTCTGTATTGACCAAACTAAATCTTTCCGTGTTGTCTTATTCAGCTTAATCTGGAGAGAACAAATTTGTAAGATCAAATCCGTACGTGAAGGATTTATCAATTCTGAACCACTGGTGATCCGATAATGAGGCGGGACCAGTGCCTGGCTGGCAGCGGAAGACCGGACGTGACGTAGCAGCATGTGTGTATAAAGCATGCTCCGTTTGCAATTACTGTTTGTGTGTTTAGAAGTTGTCACTGGTGGATATCTCTTCGTGAAATAGTATCGTCTCGTTCCCAACATTGATTGGTGATCCTACAGCGGGCGTTTCCAGAAAGCAGCGCCATGTGAACAGTTCGTTGTTGCCTTGATTTCTGTCTCACGTGTAAGCTCGTTATCATTTATAGCTATGGGACTTCACCACTCAAAGAAAAGCAGGAACAAACGGGCCTCTTCTGCAGATGGGAAGGGAAAAGGGAAAGGGAAGAAGTATCTTCCCACAAATGGACACACGTGTAATGGACATATTGTGGCACCTGCCAGAGATCCCCTCGAGCATGCACCAAAAATCACAGAACCACAGAAGGCTATGGTGCTGGAATCGTGGCAGATTATTCAAGAGGATATCAGTAAAGTTGGGGTCGTAATGTTTATGAAGTAAGTAAAAGCATACATACATTCATAACATGTGTAACAATATTTGAAATATTGCCGATGTGATTTGCAATCTCACTCACTCATAACAGTTTTCTCTGTATTGGGTACTGTTTGATGATGTGCCATAAACTAGTATTGAATGCTCACTACTAATATGCTTAAACGTAACACACATGTGTGTTACCTGCCAGGCGAATAAAATGAGAATGTAAGCTCTAAATTGTTTTATACCAGTGTGATATATTCAAAATACACGATTGCTTTATGCTTAACGTACTAGTTATTGTTTAAGAAAACTGCGTGACCAATTAAATAGTCCGGTTCGACTTAACAAAATCTTTGCATCTGTAAATCCAGGGAAACGGATGAAAAGCCTTGATGATCAAATGCCGTTTTAATATGCATTTTGATGTTGTGGTACTGCAGTTGAGCTATTTGCATTTGCCATGCTCAGAATAATCTGATATGCTGTAGCTAATGTGTTTTTGTGGACTTGAAATCCCACATGTAAATCATGTTTTCAGATAGGTTCATTTCCCCTAAAACATGAAACCACTTCAATCGATTGCGGCTATTTGTCATGGTTGTTTAAAAAGCCAAAAGAAATCGTCACTGACGTAAATGAAGACACATTGTTATTCCTACCGAAGACCTCCACTTACACGCGATTAGATTTAACAAGGTCTAAGACATGATATACAGCCTAAATCAGATGTACATTTACAACGTTGGCGGTGTTGAATCATGAAACGGAACCCTACTTTCCACAAGGCAAGTCGTGATGCACCACGAGCAAATAATAGCAGGTGATGCACCACGAGCAAATAATAGCAGGTGGTCAATGTCCGGTTATATTGTCAAGTCGGAAGGCAATATATGTTCCTGTCATTCACATAGTCTGAGCATAGTGATTTACGGATAACAAATGTAAATAACTATACAACAGAAATATGTTTATTAAACGGCATTTATTTCCGATTGTGATGTATATATTGTTCAGACTGTCATCGCCTCTCGTTATATTCCTTCTGATGTGGATTGAACTATTGTATGTCATAATTCCGAAATTGCACTTGTAAAAAGCTGGATCATTTGACGGAAATTCTAGAACCTATTTCCGTTAAATAGTCCCATCATACCATGAAGCCATATTTGGTAGAAACAATACTGAAGCGACGGTAAATTGTATTTCACTCACTCACTTTGTACTCGTTGGTTTTACACACAAACAGATCCTTGATAGCTCCAGTGACTCTCTGAAAAAATAACACTTGTTAAGGTTTATTTCAGTTTGACTACATATCATTGTAAACCACTGTATTCGTCATTCATGAATTCTGTAGCATATCCCAACAATATCATGACTACGGACACACTTATCTCAAATATTTGCATGATTTCATACCAAAATATATGGAACTAAACACTATTCTTAAGGTACTAATCACAATTGTAAGGTTACAGTCAAGGAACCAGAGACGCCGAAGCGGCGTGACTAGGAAACAGTAAACTATTCAGATGGACAAAACATGTTCAACAAATCTTGTTCCAACGGTTCATTTGCTACCAGTTCACCTCAGTGATTCAAGCACATGTCATTACTTCAACTAGGTGTTTTATGCAGTACCTCAAATGTTCTGTATTGACGTGGAAAATCATGTTTTATCTTGTGAGGTTTTACCTGAATGTAAAGGTCACATAGTCACTGTGCACCCATACAAGCATTATGACATGCACTGGTGAAATAGAAAAAAGGTTCTATCGCGGGTCACGATGTTCATTTCCAATGCTAGAATTGTGGAACAGAAGTAGAACTGAAAATAAGTCCCTGTGTAGAAATGTGCTGTAGATGTAATTATTAAACGGAATAATTAGTCGAAAGTTTTGCAAAACAGATTCTACTTGGTGTCAGGTTCAAGATGTGGGGAAAATAATATGAGTGAATCACTGAAAATCAGTGATACTACCAAATGATGATACAAGTTCTTGAAGCTAACTCAAGATGTCATCATGCCACAAAACAGTCCTTATGCCCACCTGAATCTCAATAGTTTTCAATGAAGCGGTTTCGCGCAACTTTGCACTTGCATCTTGTAGCATCCGTATTAGGTTGCTAGAATTTTCCTCAACCTGCAAATTAGATTGGGAAGGACAGATTGAGGAGTTCAGGAGGACACAAAATGTTTGTGTAACGATACATTCGAATGTAAGGGAGTGAGTCAGCTTTGACAAACGTCACCACGACGGTGTGTCTGGACTGGACAAACCAAATCCTGCGACCATGAGCCACCTTCAGTGAGATGAGGTGAAACGGTGCTGGACGTTGCGTTCAAGAACCCACGTACATGTATGTGCTAGGCTGGCCTGTGTCAAGCGGTTGTATAGTACCAGACAACTGACATACCTACATGGGTAGCCAAATCAGAGACAATACAGTTAACTAAACTGTCTCCTCCAGCCGATCGCATGAGCGGGTAACAATCTTTCAACGACCTTTGTTATGAGGAGGTCTAGAATCGAACCAAGAAGTTTTCGTTGCCAGTCAAGTAGCTCTATCCACCAGACCAATGCGGTCTGAACACCATCGGGGTTTGCTGCAATCAGACCAAGAACCTGGACCGGTTTCAGCTGACTATCATGATACACCGATGAACTCTTTCTACTGAATCCTCAGTTAACACAGCCTTGTATACATATAGACAATGTATATATAGATGGTCCACTGGAAGAATAATCAGCATGTTATACATTCTATTCCAGCATTTCCACAGATTAAATTCCATTAACACTCACACTCTCACAAATCCTGTTGGATGAGTGTCTGATAACAGGTGGTAAATGAGATGCCCGTCGGGCATAAGAATTCCAGGGCATGGAGGTCTTGATGACAGCTTGTATATCTCTTGGTTCGCCGAGTAATTTTATCTCTGTACCACCGAGACAGCTGCCAGACATGTGTTACATGGCGTTTCGCTTAATGTAAACTATCATTGAGTTATCGACGTTTCAACTGACACCGACAGTTTCAACTTTTCAAGATGAGTTGACTCTTCAAGTACTAATTGGAAAGTATCTATACATCTTTTCTATTTTGGTAACACGAATACCAGGTATTCCGTTAACTAAAATAAGTTACATGGTTATGAAAGCAGTGAGTTAATGTTTTTGTACGACGCACCAGCATACTGTTATGCATAGAATATTCAACATAGTGTTATGTCGCCAAATGAGTTTAGCTATCAGACAATGCAAGCATAACAAGCGTATTAATTTAATGCTCGGGGAGTATTTACAAATTTGCAAAGGCACCAAGCATCTCTAGCAAACCACAAAACATATACTGATATTCGAACCCAAGAGAAGCAGATCGTGTCACTGAACCCAACTTGCAACAGTTATTTACAATTTCTGAGCACCAGTGTTGTCATTCATGTTTGTGGAATATACGGACCGAAATAAGACAAATATTATAACTTTTTAGGCTATTCTTCATTTAGCCATTACGAACGTTTGATTTTGCAGTTCAAGTGTTTAATGAATACACAAGTGCTTTAATGAATACACCTGCATTTATATTTATAGTTGAGAATGTGGGTTCAAGCTCTTGATAAACAAAGATGATGGCAGAGGACAGGCCGGTGTCAATTAGTTAGACATATACTCAAACACACATGTACCGTGTTGTACTTCGAATGAACACGGTTACATTGATTTCCAATTACCTTCCATCCGGTGACAATGCTAGCTTCCATTATTGCTCAACAGGAACATGACGCATGTCACAGGAGACCTTTGTCAGATGCTAATCATGGGGAATGACTAAATCACGTTTAAAAAGCATTGTTAACCTGAAAATCCCAACCTACAGAGTTAATCACCTTCTTGTAAAATGTGGAGTCATTTATATAGATAGCTTCAGATATATATTCAACATGAATTTAAGGTTTAGAGAAACAGCAGAAATTTAAGAATTCCTAGTATATCTTATATATTTTCGTATATCGTGTGTATCTGCCAGATTTAATCTACAGGTAATTAACCTCTCTCAATATTGAAAACATGCTGAGTTTACGTCATAATTGGACACTCTGTTTTCATCGAGATTTATCGTCTTTCAGTTGCTATCCTTTGTGCGGGAAGGGTAAGGTCACGCTATGATAGTATTTTGAGTGAGTGAGTGAGTGAGTATGGTTTAACGCCGCTTTTAGCAATATACCAGCAATATCACGGCGGGGAAACCAGAAATAGGCTTCACTCATTGTACCCATGTGGGGAATCGAACCCAGGTCTTCGGCGTAACGAGCCAACGCTTTAACTACTAGGCTACCCCACCGCCCCGATTGTATTTTGAAGGTACATCACTCTTTGAAAAGAGTTTTCAGCGAATAATCATATAGCCATAATATATAATGGGAATTCAACCAAGACCATGAAGAATGATTTATTCTGATTAAGTATCTGGTTCCAACTGATTCAAAGCAAGTCAATATCGTACAATCGATGCATATAAAATTGCCTTTTACAACTGCATGCGTTCGACATTGGAACATACAATATTATCAAGTGGTTTTGTCACCAACTGTTACACTACATACGCGCTTGGCCATATCAGATTATCAAACGTGATGGAATCTGTTTCAGAATCTTGCACAATCAGGTAAAGGATACACTAACACCTGTGTCACAAAAATGACCATTCTCTCACGTCACACAGTGCCTACTCGTTTTTATCAATAAGAAAAGAAATATGTGAACACACATACCTCAAGGTAGTTGCGTTGGCAACGGTTGTGGCACCAGGCTCATGAAAGTTTCCACTAGTTCATCCTCCGGTCAGTTTGAAGAATAACTGCAAATCGGGTTTGTCCTCTCATTTCATGTAACTTATATACTATGTAAGGTCAGCACACATGTCGAAAACCTCGCTAGAGCGATCATCAACCGTCATTTTGACTATACATTTCTTTCATTAATGCTACGGTGTTGAAGACTAACAAAGG